TTTAAACATTAGTCCGATTTTCGGCAGAATAGTAGGCAATTTAAGTTTCGTTTTTTTTAAGTAAGACGTGGTTTTTGATGAATAGAAAGCGATAACTAAATCATTAGTTAGTATGATTAATTAACAATTGCTTCACTGTAAACTATACAAATTTTGCTTCATACGAAAATATTTTTATATTAGTAGAGCTAGTTATTGTTAAAAACATTTAAAGAGGAATTTTGAGCGAATCAACTAAGCTATGTTGTGATATTAAAAAAATCTTGAATTATTTACGATTTTTATTGATCGCCATCCAACTATACTATTGACACCCCACTTGTAGATAAAATTTCTTATTTAATAAGCTTCAAGTCCATATTAATTAAGTTGTGTGTTTATTACGAAATAAGTTGAGATTCACCTCAAGTAGTGTAAAACAATGAGGTGTTTTCATATCCTGTCACCTTAAAGTACCTGTTTTAACAAAAATGACTACAACAAATTATTGCAAAACTTTAATTTATTTTTTTTTCCAATACCTGGAATGTATTATCATAAACATAATGAATACAGTTTGTATTTATTACAATAAAAATATTTAAAATAATGATTTTCGAATATTTATCTTCTAAAGTGATAATAAAACTGATTTTTTTTATTAAGATCTCTATTATAGAAGTTGATCCGTATTTATAAGTGACCAATTAAACGTTTCCAGTTCTAATATCTGTAAAATAAAGAAGCTTGCTGATTGCTTGAATTAATTTCTTGGATTCGCAAACATTAGGATTGAAAAGATAATTTTTCTCAGCTTATTTCATAGCATTCACTAGTACTCACTAAATAATTTGAATCATCTTAGTTGAAAATTGGCAGGGTTGACTTAAAAAACAGTTAAAATAACCAGGAAAAGTTATCATGCTCTGACTAATAGGAAATAAAAAAAAACTTTTTCCATCAGATATATTTATTTATTTAAATGTCTAATTGTAATTTCAATAAAAAATATTCTCTTTACTTTAAAAACATGTATTTTTAATGCAAATTTAAGTATAAAAGGAGAATTTTAATGCAGCAAAAGTTTTACTACATATTCATATTAGATGATAATTTATTTATTTATTTTAGTCAAAATTTTTATATGATTATTTTCCACGATTCCTCAGATGACAAGCTTGACAGAAGGGTCATCATAAATAAACCTGAAGAAGGTCCAATATGACCATATCGATAGCAAAAATGAATAATACAATTATTTATAGATGTATTAATAGCTGACTTTTAAAAAATAAGCAGGATGTGTAGTCGATAATCATGATTATAAGTTTCTCGACGTTTTTGTCTTGCCTTCAAACCATTGCCCCAATGATAAACCTGCTGCTGCTGCTGAACATGTTGGATTCGAAACATTGGCAAACTTAATAAACTTGATTATTGATTATAGATCCTGATTATTTTTCATCCCTATAATACAATTATATACAATTAGATGAAGTCTTTTAATTGAAGTTGATCTCATTTCTGCAACATATTGAGCCTCAATTTAAGATTTTTTGTTTATAGATTTTTTTCTTTAATATACTTGCAAACGTTAGGAAAAGTTATGCGGTCGGGAAAAATTTCGAATCTGAGATTTTAACAGAAATACAAGTTTCAAGGTTTACTGAATGTAAATATCAAGTCCTACAAAAAAACGGTTTGTATGTCTGTGTATACATGCATGTATGTGAACAGCCTCGCTTAAAAATTAAGAATCGGATGAAAATGAAATTACATATTTAAGACAGTTATATGCATGGGATGTTACAACTTTTTAATATTTTTTTCTGTAAAACATGGTAATATTTTACCATTTGGGAGGAGGGGAAGGGGGAGAGGCTTCAGTACGAAAGCCCCCTCTCCACCCCCGCAGATCCGCCTGTTTTTTAATGAGATAAAATGTTTTTTCAGGATGAAAATTAATTTACGGAAGTAAAATTAAGTCAGAATATATATATCTATTACTTTTTGTAATAGCGCCTTGGTTAGTTCGATTTATCTGTTTAGGTTTCGGCCTTCCACGTGGTCTATTACCTACTATTGAGGCATTTATTATTGGCTTTCTTGTGGATTGTTCCGAGCTCCTTACATGCTACTCTTCTTTACCCATCAAACATCAATTGAGCCGTTCCTGTAAGCTATTTTTTTATGGTACTTCTCCTTATGTCTTAGGAATTAAATCCCAAATCGTTCCGTTCATCGTGGAAAAAAATTTCTTCTCAATCTTCCAATATTTCTTTCTAGTGTGATGGTTCGTGTTCAGTACTCGTAACCTTATACCAAAACCACCTTATAGCATTGCATACTCTTAGTCTGACATTTCTAGGAATATACTGAGTTATTTTATTTCTGGGTGTTGGTCATTCTTGAGTTTATTATGAAGCCGAGCTATTCGAATTATCTACTTTTGGGAAGGATTTTCCTTCTATTCTGTCAGGATGGGATTTTCGCCTTACTATCATGTTTTGTTTTATCTCCATTTACTTCTTGGCTGATTTGCTCTGCTTCTTTTACTCTGATAAATGGTTCTAGTCTTCGTGAGGCTCTCAAAGTCCCTATTAATTGCTTCCTAGGATTTTATGATTCTTTAAGAGGTGCACACCTCCATCGTCAAATAATGTTATTCTCATCACCTTATCCAGTGCTAAATTGAACGGTATAAAGAGCCCTCCTCTAAGAATTAAAGAATCTTCCTAGTGGAAACCAGTTCGTATTTTGAAGGCTTCAGATACTTGGATCAGGACTCGGCATTTAGTAGCATTTGTAAACACGTTCGACATTAGAATTATCTCGAAACTTCCAGTTCATTAATCATTTTCGAAAGATAGTTTATATACACCGAATCATAGGCTACTTTTAAATCAACAAATAAGGCCTGCACCTCCTGCATATTTACTTCCCATTGTTTTTCGAGCACCTGTTTTAGGATGAAAATCTGATCTAGCGTGCTCTTTTCTCTTCTGAATTCAGCTTGGTGGTCGCTTATTATATTTTCATTAAGCGGATATATCCGGTTTAATAGAATACTAGTTTGCCCGTGTGATTAATTCCCAAAAAATTTTAAGTGAAGGAATATCAAAACAATATGGGAATAAGTAGATCCTATCTAATATGTAAAGGAGGAATTAATTGTTTTTTCTTAGTCGATTACAATATCCCATTTAACATAATAGGCCAAAATATTTGTACAAATTGCTTTGCTAGGATCTCTTTTTAAACATTGACTGGAAAGATAACATTCAAAATAAATCCTTGACAATGGGCTTTTATAAATTATTTAAAAATATAAAATATAAAAACAAAAAAATGATTTTAAGAAATAATAAAGTACATATCAGCTAGCATTGGAATAATAAATGCAGTATCTTTAAAGAGGAAGAAAATGTTAAGTATACCAAAACTAATGAACTGTATATTTGTTAAAAATTGTCCGATTTTTACAATTGTTTTATGTTTTGTAGGTTATTTAGTAATATTTCTAATTATCATGGGAACAATCAAGAAAAAAATGCACACTTTTTGAGTTATTAACAAATAAAGGTTATTTTCCCTCATAACGTTTTCCCCTTAAATTTCGGGAGGATGGAACTATTTTTCCCACCTGAAGGGGAAGAAGATCTTTAAAATGAAGGCTCAATAGTTGGATTTTATGAAGGATTGACGAAGTTATGGCGTTGCGACAAAAAAACACCTTTTAAAAATAATATATAAGATTGGTCATTATCTTGTAGGCAACAGGAAGCAGTGCCACGTATCTGTAATTACTTCACTCATTAACACTAGCGGATCCAGGTTTTAATTTTGGGGAGGACGTCAGCCCGAAAGTTTTATATATATATATATATATATATATATATATATATATATATATATATATATATATTCATAAATCATTATTACTTTTAAAGAAGAAGAAAGATCTTAATTACCTATATGGAATGGTGTTTAAATGATTCTTGAAGTCCTATTAAATGTAATTACATGAACAATAATACTTTTAGAGATAGATTTTAATTTTTTTTATAAAACACGGATATACTTTATCATTTACGGAAAGCCTTCAGTCCTAATGTTGATAGGAGTTATTGGAGTGGAAAAAGGGTTCGATGACTTGTAACACCGTCCTTTTCTACATATGTTATAAGATAATGTTTTAAAGTCCAAAACAATTAAATATTGAAATATTCTGTAAGTTTTACAGTAGTAATCAAGCTTGGTCAATTATGAATTGGATACCCCCATGTTTAAACTAAAATACTTCTTTTTATGGATTTTTTTGGATGTCACTCGCTCTTTTAATGAGAGTATGGCATCAGCGCCTTATTTTTAATCTATAAGTGTCACTTCCAAATACCTTAACTGAGTTCAAAAACAATGTTTCTCTGATAATCCTTATTTGTTCCATTAAAAAATAAATAAATGAAGAAAATAAAAAATAGGAGTAATTAAGGAAGTAAAAAGTTTGTTTTTGATGTTATTGTTTCCTGGACACCCATATTTTTGTCATTAGACATATTTAAAATATGCATAAATCTTTGCAACTTATTTTTTATTTTTATCAATCACCTATTATTGAAATAGTATTTTTTTTAGTATACTATTTATAAAGTATAGATAACTACTTTTACTGCAAGTTTCCAAATTTTCTTTAAAATAGGATGTTTAAAAATGTTTGCATCACTGATTTCGTTCCTGAATCAGAACTTACTTGAACCTAACCTTGGCAGTTCAGCGTCCATTTGGATTAATTCAGCTTCTTAATTTTAATTCTGTGATATTTTAAAAAATATTGATATAGGTAGGTTGTTGTAATATTCATCAATTTTATATTTTAAAGGCGATGATTTAAAATAATTTATTTACTTTTATTGTCTCCTTCTTATTATTGTAGTCTTTAAAATTACTTCTATTTTTAATAATTAGTATTTATAACTATTATGTATAGACTGTTACTATATCATAAACATTTTTGTGTAGGTATGGGGGACGCATTTTGTTTAAAGTGGAATAACCATCAAACAACACTAGTTTCAGTTTTTGACAAACTTTTTGAATGTGAGTCATTGGTGGACTGTACACTTGCTGCAGAAGGTAGACAGTTGAAAGCCCATAAAGTTGTGTTATCTGCTTGCAGTCCATATCTTGAGGTATTTTACAGTTTAAAATTTTCTTTTAGTTTCTATGTATTGATGGTATTTCGCTAAGATGGTTTGTCATATTGTTTTAGGAATTAATTAGAAACCATGATGACAGACATCCAATTATCATTTTTAATAATATTCGTTATGAAGAACTTAAAGCAATGTTGGAATATATGTACAGAGGGGAAGTTAATGTTTCACAAGAACAATTAGATTCATTTTTGAAAGTAGCCGAGTCCTTAAAAATTAAAGGGTTGACTGATCAAGGTGGTGGACATAAGAACACTGAAAAAGAAGAACAAAGAACAGGAAAGAAAAGAAGAAGACGCACTTCAAGTGAATCTACTCAGAGTGAGGAAAAGGAAACGTTGAAACCTGAACCAAAATCAGAACCCATTGATGAAGCTAATTCTGAACCAATTGAAGATCTTACAATCGAAGAGGAGGATGATGAATATGGACCTCCAGGACCAGGAACTTCACAGGGCAGCTTTTCGAGTCAAGGTCAGGTATTAATTTTTCTCTGTTATATTTTATTTTTTAATCTAAGTAAATATTGTCAACATTCATTTAATTTTAGCTAGGAAATTGATCATTAATTTAAGTTATTTGATTGCAACATTTTATACAGATGGTTCTGAATTATTGTGTTGATTCATGCCTCTTTTTAATATTTACTGAATTACTTCTTCTATCGGACTCTTCAAATATAATCTTATTTCAATATTAGACATAGTTAATCATTAAGGTTAAACACTAAAACTCTGTCATTAAAGGTTTTACATTTATGAGATTTCATCAAGACTCACAGTAAGAGTAGAAATAGGTGAATAAAAATATTTTTTTCCATTGATAGATTTTTTTTTTAAACAGATTTCAACAATTGGCAAGTCAGTGGCGATATAACTAATGATGAAGTATTTTTAGCAGCACAGCAAGAAATTAACAGTCAAGGAAACCCAGCTCCAGGTATGTAAATCAATCACAACCTTTTAAAATTATTATAAATAATTTTTTTTTGTATGGAGATAGGTAAGGTTGATAAGCGCCTAGGCTTTCACCCAGCCTTCTCCTTTGCATGTTTTTTGTGCTTTGCTGCTTGCTTAATGAATGCATTAATTTCCCTGTTTTGGTTTTCTAACCTGTACTATTAAATTTCCTTATATTTGATCCCATATTTAATTTATGGAGCTATTTATTGTGTTTTTCGATAACTATGTTTCATCGCTGATTCATCACTATCTTGTTTATTAATTTGATGAAGATTTATATCATTGTCTATTTGGAATAATGCAATAAAGGTTAATGTATTTAAAAAATGATCTCCCTGATATTTGTTTCTAAGCAATATCATCCTAATCATAATAAAATTAAGTTAATAATTCCATTTATTATTAATAGTTTACAAATATTTTTTGTTGCTATTTGACATGGTAGTATGAATGGTGTAAGTCTATTTACAAGTTGCATATAAATGTTTACTACTTAATAATGGAATTAAGAAGACAAGGATTAAAAAAAAAATAGTTCAGGTACATTCATTCAATTTTATTGTGGAAATCAATTGTACTAAAAATATAAACAAAGGATGTGAGATATGAAAGGCAGATTGGCCAGTGAATTAAATTTTTTCAAGAATCATTGTTATAAACTGCAAACAAGGATAAATTTAAATTAGCAGATTTTGTGCTCTTTAAACATTAAAGGAAGGAAAGACTATGGCTAATAGTAAGGTAAGTCATTATGTTTTATTTGTGATTTTAAGTACCATTTTTGTGTTTATTAGAAATAAAATAAAACTGAACACATTAGGGATAATAATTCATCTTATCCTGTTATCGTAAAAGTTTTTGAAGTTGACGTGGATAACAAGTTTGAAGGTTATATCTAAACAGTAGTGCGCACACGTAATATAACTCTGATTGCGCAGATATTGATCTTTTAGACAAACGATTTTATGTAATACTGTTATTCTTGTTTGATTTATTTTAATAGAGCACATTTAATGTTTCCGATAAAAGTATCCTTCAGTCTCGCTGATGAATACGGTGTTTTCTGGTAGATCTCTTATCAGTGATCGTAAACAGTATTTGTGTTGATAAGTTCGATGTTACGAAAATCACGGAAAGCGGGATCAAAGATGGTTCAGGAAAGTAATGTGAATTAGTGTATACTTTTGCTGCAAGAAATTACGGAATTATTGAGAACTAGGGGCCAAATTAAAGGAGGCAGATTCTCGCGGTTTTCGTGATAACACTCCTAATTGTAAGTTATGAAACGTCAATTATCAATATACTTACATAAATATAAGTTATAATAATATTATTTTTCATAGTTTTTCTGATATATTTTTAGTTTGGTCGGACAAACAGTGTTATGAACCTCTTCTTTATTTATCTTTTGTTTATTATTCAGTTTACTGTTATATCTTATCTTTTGCTTCTGATATCACTTTTAATGAAGGTGAAGATGTTTTTTTATTCAAGGTAAATGTTTTAATTTGTAACTTTATCATTAATTTGAATTAGGTGTATTCAACTAATTAATGTTATTTTATCTTCTGAAGCCATTTAGGCATTATATTTTAAGGTTTTAAATGTATTATCCTTGTTTTTATTTGTTTATTTGAGTGAGAATCTGGTAGTAGGGATTTTTCTCCTTTAATTTAAAGAATGTTTGTTTCAATTTATTCTTAGTTTACTTATCTGAGAATGGGAACAAGAGAAGGGAAGTTAGTGAAATTGAGAAAGTAAGAGGTCAAAGTAAGAGAGAGGAAGGGAGAGGCAGTGAAAGAGTGGAGAAAGCAGGACAGGGGTTTCCATTCACCTATCCTTGGGTATTCTTTTCATAACATGGTGTTTTATTGAGTTTTCTCATGTTTTGGTTCAATATGTATAGTGGCCTGGAAGAAGAAATGGCAGGGCAACATTATTGCCTTCGATGGAACAACTACCAATCGAATATGACATCTGTGTTTCATCACCTTCTCAGGACCCAGGCTTTTGTTGATGTGACACTTGCTTGTAATGACCAATCCCTGAAAGCCCACAAGGTATGGTTTATAATTAAACTAATAGTTTTAGTGAGATTTCAAAAGTTGTATTTATGACAGTATAGTTTTATTTATTTGGAATTTAGTTTAGTAGACATTTATATTCTACTCTAAAAAATTCTTTTTGTCTTTCAAATGATTGTATAGACGGTTAGGTCAATTATTTTGTATAATAATATAATTAATAATTTTAGATGAATGAGGTTCATACATAGTTGTATAGTCTATATAATTACTTTCAGGCAGAGTAACTATTTTTACTTAAAACTAAATTTTACTACTGAAATTGAATTTATCATGACCATAGTTCAGTCCTCTATTGGTGGGTAGTGCTAGGGTTCCTTTCTGTAGAAATTTAAATATCCATAAAACTTTGTATTTTGCTGAGAGTATATTATTAGTTTTGATTAGTAATATATTTTATATTTCCATTTATTGCCTTATCTTATTTCATATGTAGTTTTATTTATATTAAAGTTATTTTTGATAATAGTGAGAATATATACAGAAAAAATAAGTGAGGTGTGTCTTTGAATGAAGGTGATTCTGTTTCATGTAATTTTCATTTTTTTGAATTAATATTTATCTATTAATTAGAAAGCTATATTTGATTTGAATAATTTTCATTTATTTATGAAATTCATTATGTGTGTGTGTATCTATACATACTAGGTGTCCCGTTAGCAGATAGAAATTTTGATAAGAGTGCTAGCAGACCTACAAAAAAGTTCATGTAAACAATGGGTCAATTTTCAGCAGAAAAGCAAGAAATAGAAGTTTTTGTGTCTTTTTAATAGTCATTTTGTTTGTTGAATAGGAAGCCATAACTAAAGAAATGTTTAATTTAAATAATTAACAATTAATTCATTGTAAACTAGACAAAATTTACTTAAATTGAACAAGAGGTTAGTCATTATTAAAACCATTTGAACGGCTAAACTAAGTTATGTTCTGCTTTTAAAATAATCATAAATTATTTTCAATTTTTTTTTATCGTCATCTAACTATACTACAGTTATCCTGCTTTTAGAAAAACTACCTCATTTTATAAGGTTTAAGTTTATATTAATTAAATTGAAGTTTACTAGGCAAAAACTTGAGATTCACCTCAAGTTGTGTAAAAAAATGATGTCGTTTTCTGTTCAGTCTCCTAAAAGTACCTGTGTTTTCAGCAAAAATGACTACAATTAACTGTTGCTAAGCTTTTATTTCTTGCTTTTCTATGATTTGGGTTGTATTCTAATAAAAATAATTGACTGAATGTATATTTTATTTATAAAAATAATGAAATAAAAAAAAAAAAAGATTTTTTAAACATTTTTCAAGTAAAGTGGTTATGTAATTGTATTTTTCTCCAAGATTTCTGTCATAGGAATCGATCCGGATTTATCTGACCTATATGATGTTTCTAGTCCTAAAATTGGCATTTAAAATAAAGAAACCTGATTGCTTCTATTATTTTCATGAAGATGTAATTATTAGGGCTAGAAACATTAAGATTGTCACTTATAAAAACGGATCAACTCCTATGACAGAGATCTGGACGAAAAACACAATTATATAACCACCTTACTTGAAAAATATTTTAAAAATTGTTATTTTAAATTTTATTATAATTATAAATGAAATATACTTTTAGGCAATTAGTTTTTTAGAATACATCTCAGATCATAGAGAAACAAGAAATAGAAGCTTTGCAACAGTTAATTGTAGTCATTTTTGCTGGAAACAGGTACTTTTAGAAGACTGAACAGAAAATTACGTAATTTCTTTACACAACTTGATGTGAATCACGTTTTTGCCTAATAAACCTCAAGCTTATTAAAGCTTATTAATCAAGATTGTTTTTCTAAAAGTGGGATAACTGTAGTACAGTTAGATGATAATAAAAAAAAATCGTGAATAATTTATAATATTTTTAAAAGCAGAACTATGAATAAAAAATCACTAAACTTTAATTCCTTACTTTCCTGCTGAAAATCGAACCATTGTTTATATAAACTTTTTCGTATTTATTGAGTTCTGCTATTACTCCTCTAAATGTTTCCCTCTACTTATAATACACTCTGTATATGTGTTTAGACATGTAAAAAACTGAATTGCTGACACGGGTCACGAAGAGAAAACTTTTTACAACCAAAAAATCCAGATTTATCTAATCTTTTTTTTCATGCATTGCTACAAAACAGTGCTTCAAAGCGGAAAAACGTACCCCTTAATAAATTAAAGAACGTAAAATAAATTTAGTAAAAATCAGCGTTGGTTGACCGTAGTTTTATACCTTACAACATATAACCAAATTATAAAGTTTATGTACTCGTTCGACGCACAACTTAAAGTTCTTCTATTTATTAAGGAGTAAATTTTATGCTTTGATGCATTGTTTAGGAGATACATGAAAAAAAAAAATATATTGAAAAATCCTACTTTTTTTACTGTGTAAAGTTTTCCCTTGGTGGTCTACATTAGCAAATTTGTTTTTTACATGTCTAAACCCATATATACAAGTTAAAAACAAGCTTTTCCCCCATTTTTCACAATGGATTTCTCGTTTGGATCCTCAAATTAATGCCCTAATATTCTTTAAATCAGCCACCATTTTCGAAAGCAGCAGCTTTGGAATGGCAGACAAGGTTCTTTTTAATCAGAATAACATATACTTTCATAATTTATAATCAAACCTTCTCCTGCGATGAGGTCGATTTTTGGGCTCTGTCTCCCAGGGCTAATATGATCAGAATCAACAAGACATAGATTTTTGTTAATTTATTATATTCTTAAAATACTAAACCACACATTTTCTGATAGTTTGGTTTATGAATAAAAATGTATGAACTTACAAGAAATGGAAATCTTCTGTAAGAAAAATATAATTAAATACTTCATGTTTTAAAAAAATAAAAACATGACTTGTTTAATGTGAAATTGAAGAAATTACATCACACATAAGTATAAAAACAGAATTGAAACTCCACCTGAAATGTCAAATGTAATAAGAAATAAATAAATGGAAGAATTTACAATTTATGTTTCTTAAATTATTATATTGTAATAAATTTATTTAATTTCTTTTAATAATTGTGCATTTAAAAAATATTCATGATAGTAGAATTCTATTCTTGAAAGAAGAAATATTGAAGAGACAATGCAACAATGAAAATTTCTATTAGAATCGTCATTCTAAAAATTCTTTAAATTTAACAAGTTACAACTAATCCTAATCTTTAAGTATTAGTTTTTTGTGGCTAAAGATTTTTTTAAATTGTGTAATTGCCTACAATTATGATATTTTCCTATTTATTGATTATATCTGTTTGAAAAACAATGATTTTGTTCTTTGGCTTGAAAATTAGCTCAGCTCACTATTATTATGGAAACTTCTTCAAATTTTTAGTTAGAAAAAACCTTATTTGTCTTTTCCCTACTGCAAAATATGCTAATGTGTTAAATCATCATTTAGATAGATAGATAGAAAAATAACTTTATTCTGGGACACAGAATAACAAAATTAAAATATTACATCTGGCCAAAATAAATTCAATCGAAAAAAAGAAATAATGTAAAAAAAATATAAGGTAAAAATTCTATATACAAAACAAACTAAACTATATACAAAACCATTAATACTATGACAAGACACTGTACATTTACATTGTAAAATGTGAAAACTGTAGGTAGGGTCAATCCATTAGAAATAAACCAGTTTGAATTAATTTTGTTGCTCGATATTTTTAATTTATATGATATTTTTATTAGTTATACATGTTAATGAAATACGGATTTTGAAAACCTTGTCCTTTTTAAAATATGAATTTTCAAAAACAGCCTAAAGGCGTTGTTGGCGATTTTTTATGTTGGATATCGCAAAGGGACCAAGTGAAAAATTATGAAATTGATACAGTTTATACATCTTTATGATAGGAACATGTGATATGAATTTGATCACTGAGACTCAACCAGTGGAGGTTCCAGCAATTTTCTCGGGGGGGGGGGGGGGGGCGCACCTCTGTACTCCTTGCTTCACCCACCCCTACCCTTTCCCCCACCACTACACATCTCCCCCACTGAGAGATGAGTTTAGCCGCTCAAAAGTCCTCTTTAAATTGTATTAACAAAAGCAAACTATTTTTATTTAAAGTAAATTTTGTCTAGTTTACAGTTAAGTAATTGTTAATTACTTAAATTAAATAATTTATTTGTTATAACTTCCTATTTGACAATAAAGGTGACTCACATAAAAAATCACAAAAGTTTCCCTACTTTCCTGCTGAAAATCGAACCATTTTTTATATAAACTTTTTTATATTTATTAAGTTGTGCTATCACTACTTTTAATATTTTCCTCTACTTACGGTACACTCCCTCTACCAAGGTAAAACTTTTTGCAGCCAAAAAATCCAGATTTATCTGATCCTTTTTTTTTTTTTTTTTTTTTTTTTCAAGTATTACTACTATACAGTGTATCAAAGCGAAAAACGTAATCTTTAAGAAATTAAAGATCGCCAAATTGTGCGTCAAACGCGTACCTAAACTTAATAATTTGATTAAGTGATATGGTCGATAACCACGGTCAATGAACGCTAATTTTTACCGACGTCAAAATATGAGAAAGATTTCAAAAATGGCCCTGCAATAATTAGTACCTTCCTTCATGAAAACGTTCCCAACAGCAGCTATTTTAAGAAAAGAACAAATATACAAATTATCGTGACCAGTTTTATGAATCTCACGGATTCGTCAAAGAGAATATGAACGGTTCAAAATATGAGAAAGATTTCAAAAATGCCCCTGCAATAATTAGTACCTTCCTTCATGAAAACGTTCCCAACAGCAGCTATTTTAAGAAAATCGCACGGATTCGTCAAAGAGAATATGAACGGTTGAATAAAAGATACTGATACTGGGTGGGAGAACTAGTCTGGCAAGTGGGACTATAGTGATCCTTTTTGCCAACCACTGGAGACCCCTGACGATTTACCTTTAAGGTTGCCGCCGCATAC